AGGCATATTAAAATTAGTTTGCTTTTTAAACATAATGCAAAGAGAAATCGAGACGAAACAAAATGTTATGTAGTGTCATACGTGCAGTAATCGTTTACGTGTTCTAGAAACCTTAGTCTTCTTCAAAAACCGCCAAAGATATCATCGTCATTGTTGACTATCGGATGAGGTATCGTAAGTGTAGGGCTCGCGTCTTTCGATCGTAACGAAGGAAAATCGAGAGGAATAGGGTTAACTTCTAAATACTCAACTTTCAGGCGATCGATGTTGATGCTATCGTTAGATCCGTTCTTGATGATTCAATGCTTAGGTTTACAGTAATGCCATGCTTTTGTAATCGTTCGAACACAAGGTTCAGGTGCTGAGGTTGATATCCCCAGTCCAGACTTGTGAGCAAGGAGTAGCCAAGATGCACATGTAAGAAGTTGGGACCTTGATAAACGTCATCGATGAACCTTTGGGAGGTTTGGACGGCATTTCTTAGGCCGAAAGGCATTCGCGAAAATTCGTGGAGATCGATGGGAGTGATGATGGCGGTTTTGGCAATATCGTCAGGAGCTATGCGAATCTGGTTATAAGCTTTTACCAAGTCGATTTTCGAAAAGACAGTTGTACCGTTCAAGGTAGCTGTCAAATCGTGTGTTTGAGGCAACGGGTAGCGATCAGGACTGGTTTTCTCATTAAGTTGCCGATAGTCACCACTTGGATGCCAATCGTTGCATTCCTTTTTAGGGACCGTGTGCAAGAGAGATGTCCACGGGCTGTTTGATGGCCGAATGATCTGTTATGTGGTCGAATTCGTTTTTAGCCAACTTCAGCTTTCAGGAGCTAGTCGACGCGCACTCTAGAATACAGGTGATCCTGTAGTCGTGATGTGATGTGTAACACTGGTGGTTACACATGGCAATTTCGGTCAGGTTTGGTATACTACGGGATACTTATCGAGTATTTTTTGGTATTATGGGTCGGTCGTGTGCCTTATTGTGACTGGGGAAAATCTACAACCGCAAAGAAAAGTTAAACAAGCAGATAAATTAATATTTGCGTCTACTTACCTACGTTAGCTAGGGTCGTTGAGTAAACTACGATGTTGTGACAGGTCTATACCAACGATTGGCATAGAAACATCCACAACAGCGAAAATCCAGTGAATGTGTTTGCGTAAACTCACGTACTGATTACCATATGTGGAGATTGGTTTCGATTTGCTACCTGTAAGTGAAAACGGTTTCATGCATTCAATTGTTAGAATTCACTCGAAAAACTCTAGCTTCTTCGCCAGTGTGGACAAGGTAGCGAACTTTCGTAATCATATCAATGACGTATATCAGACGGCAATGTTCTCCAGCTACGGTTGCCGCTAACGCGTGCCGTCTGGGAAGCTTCCCGAAAAGTTTATCGTGTCGAGGTCGTTATCATGAACTGACATCGGGTATGATCCCATCGTTTAGGATCTCTAAAAGGTTTACAAACTAGAAATCATTGGATGGAGATCTGCAAAATGATCTGAATGGAGATAATATTACCTAGTTTCACTAAATACATCTGAGTACGCATTGAATCACACCAAGTACTTTAATGTGCAATCTGCCTTAAGCAGGTATTTTCCAAAACTTAGCTTGAGGATCACCTTAAATTCATCTTTTGTTGAGTAGCAAATATTTCTATTGTTTCCAGGCATCCGGAATGTCAATTATTGCTAGTTTTCACTAGGTTGACAAAGAAAACATCATCTGCCAACACTTTAAATTTCGTGGAATATACATCATGCGCTATCTTTATTCTGATCAATTCAAAGACATCACTATGCAATACTTCTGTCGAAATTTCTATTTCTAAATAAGTGTATTTAAAGATGCTAAGGTAACAATTGGTTCGCACTTCGAAAAGGGTGACGTTTATGGATTAACTGATGTAAGTAACTTGACAGGTGTTATGCATAAATAACATGAGCTGTAGGCCAAAACTCAGTACAGTCGTTTCATTATATTAACTACTATATATTAATGTTTATTAATTGGTCTTCAATCATATATAAGTGTATTAATGTATCCAGAAGCTGTTGTTCTCTTATAAATAGGTCAAAATGTGAAAATGTCTCACAAACCATACAGTTTATGTTTGAGTTTGTGTGTGTTACTCTGGTTGTTAGAAGGGGCATCTTCCTTGTGACGTCCGAAGAATCTGGGCTCTCACTGTGAGGCGTCATAATTCCTCTGAATGGGTATCCTTCATCTCGAAGAACAAAGTTTAAATGCTTTAAATTGTTTGTTCTGGTTAGTGTTTTTTAGGAAGGCTGTTTTCTATGGGATGTAGTTGCCGACCCCATACCCAACCCTCCTCCTTTGCCCGTGCTCGGGACCGGCAGTAACCCTAGGAAAACTACAGGCGGAGAATTTTTCGCTCCTAAGTTTTTCATTTCATGGTCATTTATTGGTTAGTAAATACATAAATTAAGGGCAACAATGTGATCAAAAAGAGGAGTAGTTTATTGTGTATCACCATTCATTATTATTACTCTCTGCAACGTAAATAATATTATTACTTCCTGAGTTACTCTCATTTTAACGGTCTTCCTGCTTAGTTACAGAGTGATTTATGAACTTGTTATTCCAGTTACTTTTGATTTCCAATGCTGCCAAAGGTATCAATAAAAGTTCCTTGTAACCGAAAATCTCAATGCCACGACGTTATCTTGTAGTTTACGGTAGGCGGCCCCCAAATGCCCTGGTACGGCCGAGAGTGGGGAGAGTCTACTCTCCCTCTCGAAATGCTCTCACATGGCCAGCGAATATATAGCCTCTGCCAGGGAAGTCCTACTCACTGCCTTCTCGTGGCGGGGGTGTTGTTTACGAAAGTGAGAGGACGAAAAGCGAATGTCCGGCGCTTTAACCGGGTTGGTGGACACGGAGAGTCCACCTAGGGGAGTTGGAAAACCCTGATTCCAAACCAATGGTGCACATGGGCTCCAGTATCCTGATGGAACGAATGGCGGACGAACCTGTCATTGGTCAACGGCTACCATGGGACTGCATCTTCTCACGATGCTCCACTGCCTTGTGGATCAGACCTTTTGGTCAAAGGCTCGGGGTGTGGCCCCCTAAGAAAACCACCTGCTTCGGTTTGGGCACCTGGGCAGTATCACAGCCCACACACAAACAAATGAAATGATGAATTCTGTTGACGATACTATTCCTGCTCATACTAGAAGCAAGACAATTTACATTATTATTATTATTACCTTTATTATTATTATTATTATTATTATTATTATTATTATTATTATTATTATTATTTACCATATCGCTAACTCACCCCCTTTTATCCCCAATTTGTGTAACCTTACTTTTCAACTTATGCAGCATGGTGGAAAATCTGTCCTATCTAAACGATCTCCAGTCACTGTCTGGTTGAAAGTGAATGCTTCCACCGATACGGTACGGCATGTGCTTTGCACCCTCCAAGTGCAAAGTACTCCTACAAGACTGGCAGGATTCTCATCCTGTACTCACCCTGGATGGTGAGCAGATTAAAGTAGTTGAGAAGTTCGTGTATCTAGGTAGCTATATAAGTGCTGGTGGTGGCGTGAGTGATGAGATTGATGCACGTATAATGAAAGCCAGAGCGGCTTATGCCAATCTGGGCCATCTTTGGCGCCTTCGTGATGTTAGTCTGGCTGTAAAAGGTCGGATCTACAACGCGTCGGTGAGAGCAGTTTTGCTCTATGCTTGTGAAACCTGGCCTCTCCGAGTTGAGGATGTTAGACGACTCTCTGTGTTCGATCATCGTTGTCTCCGAAAGATTGCTGACATTCAGTGGCAACACCATGTTAGTAATGCAGAGGTTCGGCATCGTATGTTCGGGCGCAGAGACGATAATTCAATTGGTGTCACCATCTTGAAACACCGACTTCGGTGGCTTGGACATGTTTTACGAATGTCGTCCCAGAGACTTCCACGTCGTGCATTATTTGCCGACCCTGGGACTGGTTGGAAAAAGCGGAGAGGAGGTCGGTGTATGACATGGTGTCGTGGCATGAAAGAAAGCTGCAAAGGGCTAGCTTCTGTTGGTCCTTCACGACTCTCTGGCTGGGGTCCGAGAGATGGTGCAACACAGTGGCTAGAGACGTTATCAGATATGGCTCAGAATAGAAGCCAGTGGCGATCCTGCTGCAACCTTCTTTTACTTTCTACATAAAGAGTGGTTCAAACTTTCCTAACTGAAAGAGTCTTCTGGTTGTACATTTCAATCCGCCTTATCTTTTCATCCCTTCTTTTGCTACTTTCATTATTTTGTGTGTCGCATATGTACCTGGTGCCCTTTTGTACCAATATATATGTGTTTAAATATATAAATAAATAAAGGCTTAGTAACCCTCAGTAACGTCAACAAGTGTCATGTTTTATCGCTAACTAAAAAGATTGGTTTAACTTATCAGAAGTTTGTGTGTATCATTCAAGTAAATTACAAAAATGATCTACTGATTAGGACTAACAAGTAACTAGGACGAAGAGCTAGATATGGTAAACATTCGATGATCTAGTCGCCACCTGTTAATTAATGGCTTACTAATGGTGTATCGGCCACTGGACCTGTTTTTGAGAGATGTTATAATCTTTTGAAGTTTAAATAGCTGCCGCTTAATTATCTGACAGTATTTGTCCGTTACTGAGTAAGAATTTAGAATGCTTTTTTCGTCGACATAAACCAAGAGCATTTAAGTTACAATATTTAGTATCTTTTGTAAGGATTACACTTTTGACATTTCCGCCATCTTCATCCATTTTAGAAAAGACAGTGTCAAACTACATTAAATCGTTTAAAGGTGACGACTATACGTACTATCATTCGAATTCTAATTGCTGTTTAAAACAATAGACTTTTGATTGGACTTTTTCAGAAGATATTCCTTGACAAAATTAAAAAAAGCAACTGTTTATTCGATCGTCCAACTTTGGATTAATATTTCTTATATCAAAACATCACGTTCAAGATTAATAATGGATGGTCAACAGTCTGTTGGTGGAAAATTATCCCAATCCTTACACTTTAGTGATGGTGTTTTTGATCTCACAAATGAACACAATGAAGAGTGCTCTGATTCAGTAAGTTTGTTTTTCCTTTGAAGTGTTTTATTTAGGCTTCCGAAACTAAACTACTGCGACTCATTTTCGAGGTACAGATCTATCTACTCAGCTTTAGGTTACACTTTTAGAATGATACTATCTGGGTGCTCTAACTAATTCGGGTGAATGAAAGATTCGAAGCTCCCACTTGCTGGTTAAAAGCTGAATCCATTAATCATAAACCCTCTGCTCCCTAAGATTTTCTGAAAAAAAGTGATTATAATTTATCATAGAGTTTTATGGAATGGAAATCTAGGGTCTGCATGGACTTGATTAGTTTGAAACGCTGACAGAAATAGCTTGTAGTGACCTCATAGTGGTTTTGTGTTTTATTCGTCGTAAACGATAAAACATCTTTGTGATGAGCAAAAGTTCTGTTTTTCCACTTAAACTGGATGATTTTGTGTTTGTATTCTTGTTATTGTCAGATTCTTCCTACATTTGTATCTTCAAGACAGTTTTTTATGGGGTAATTTGTTTGTCCTCTATTGTCGCAAGCATTTTCCTGTTGTAAACAATAAAAATAAATCATAGGAATTATTACAACATGGTTAAACTGCACAGTCTAATGAGACTAAATCCGCTAACGTATTTTACATTTTAGTAAACTTCAAAGGGGACAACGTCCTACAGTCTCATAACCATAACCTACTTGATCAAATAAAATATGCACTGTAGGATGAAGCGGAAAGATGGTCAAAAGTCATACCGTATCTAGCCAATCAACATCATATGATGTCTGTCAAGTCATAGATTTTTCACAGTACTACTTACGAATGATAATCAACCGGTCACTGCCTGTCTTCACTTACTGACCTGAGCCATCCAAGATGTAGGATGTATGTCTTCGTTTGCTGAGTGGTTATAAATCAGTAACTGGAGACCCTAGATAACATAACTCATAGCCCTTGGCCATTCATTAAACATGTCTGGTTACTTTATCTTTAGCTGAATATCACATATTTTATCAATATATTCTATGCGCAACCAGCTTGTTGTAATATCACTTTACTTGTAAAGACTTCATTTTGAGATACTTTGAATTGTGATAACCTGTACTAAAGCGTTGAGACATACGTTATTATGTATGAGTAATGTCTTATCAAGGTCTTTTGGATAGATGGTATAAGTTTTCTAAATTGTGAATAAAATACGTGATAAATCCTCCTCCTATATCTGTATCTGTTTTAACTTTGATCATGAGAGATTTTGTTTTTTTGTTGTTAGTCTAAGTCTAACAATATTCTGTTGCGTGTTATTGACTGGTGCGGAGAAAAGTTGGCATGGAGTTTTGGCATTTCCTCACCGAAATATTATTATATAATTGAAAATGCCAAAATGAGAGCGTCGGAACGAAATTTCATCGACTTAGGTGATATGGATGATCCACATGTTGCCATTCTCCAGGTAGTCTACTTGTTCAATATCAATCTCACATGTTTTAATTGTTCCAAATGCATTAAACGCTTGCATATAGTCTGCTTTTGTGTAATATGATGAACGTTTGACTTTTTTGATCGCATAACTATATATATAGGTCCAGAAGTGACAAGAGTATTAATTATTAGCATTTCAATTAAAAGTAGTCTAATAGTTACCACTCTTTTTAATGGGATTGTTATTGCAGGTCGCCAACTAGACTGAAAATAGATCAGCCTATTCTGCATTTATTTATCGTATCTGTTGGTCATTAGCTCATTAACAATGTAAAGAAATATTTTGTTCTATAGCTTATACATCATATATACTACGAAACAAATTGAAATGTAAATCTTATTTCTTTGTAAATCCTTCATATAGTTAATGCACAAATATCTCTATAAATCTATCTCATTCTCCTACAAATTAAATGATTATTTGATGTAAAGGTATTTATTATCTGGGATCCCGAAGTAGTAAAAGCTAAATATAATATCGGTCAAGCTGTCGTTCAATTAATAGTCAACACAACAGACTTATTTCGGTTAGGTCAACCGAAATTCCAAACTGTGGTGTTGGAAAATGTCATTTCAGAACTGCCATATTTCGTATGAATTTGTTTTCAGTACATTCAGTTTTCGTCTTTGCATCACAATACAACTACCTTGAAAAATTCCTCTTTTTATTCATTCAATTTTAACCTTGCTTCTATGTTTTTAGGTTTTGAAAATATGTTGCTTACTATATGGTCTCTAAAGTTGGATTTATTTTTTTCCTCCCATTTTCACAGTCTTCGGTGCCAAACAACTATACTCATTCATCAGTTCTTTCATCTGGATAAACGTATCGTGCATAGTTTGACCAATTTTCCTTGAATCTTTGTGACTTTTCATTGTTTATTCAATATCTATAGATCAGTTCAACTTTTAAAGTAGTATTGTCAGATAGTCTGTCACATGTGGAATATATCGTATTGTTTTAAGTATTTATATCATTCCATATAAACGTGCTAATTACTTTCTGGCTGTAATTTTTGTACAATTTTATTTACTGTTAACAATATGTAAAATATGCTTATTTACTGCATACTTCAGAAGTGGTTTTTCCTCTGCTTAATGATACACATGTTTCACCATATACTTTGTAGGTATTGCTTTTTTGTAACATGTGTATTACATCATTGTTTAATTTTCTTTTTCATCCTGTCGACAAATTATTGAAACTCAATTATCAAACAACACGAGGCTAGGTAATTCAACTTCAAACATTAAGTGTTATGTTAGGACGAATTCTATGTTTCCCAAACTGAAGTGGATAGATCAAGGCTCAAATCTATGATACACTGATTAAGAGTCAAGCCTTAACCATTAAGCCACGGCACCAATCTGTCGTATAGTACATATGAGACGCTTTTACTGAATTTAGTGATGATTTGATTTTTCTGACATCCAAACAATATTCAGCATAGTTATAAAACACTTTTTAATGAATCATTGGTAACAATTCCACTTAGTAAGAATAAACTTAGTGGTAGTTGCTGATAATATCCAAAACTAAATGAACATCACTTCACTATTTGTTTAATTCTGAAAGCACTGTTTATATTAATTCGCTGTCATACTATTAACTCATCAATTATGTTCCTACGGTGTTAAACGTTTAATGTGTTGCAGTTTAATAAAATATAAAAAATTGATATCTAAAGTTTAGTAATGATTTTGACAGGGAAATCCATCCGTTTGAAAGTTCATAGTTCAACTGATTTGAGCTGAATCTGCGGTCGAAATGGGTATTTAAGTTGGCCAATTATCGTGAAAACTTCGATTCATTTGTAGCATCTTTCTAGCTATTTGTATACATGTATGTAAAATGGAAATTCTACAATCACAAGTTAACCTAGTGTTTTGTATCATAATTCGGAAAAGATACGATATATATTGAACTATTAGCAAATTGTCAGTAGTTAAATGCTTTAGGTGAAAGGCACACTCTTTCTAATTGTAGTGACCCAGTTTCACCATCTTGGTCATGTATTGACTGGTAGCAGTAAATTAGATCAGTAACCATTTGTGAAAAGTTTTTTTAACTACACGGGGGTCCATAATAGTCCTGTCGCAGAATATAAATTGTTTTATGGTTTACGTTTCTGAATTATAGAACGTTGTAGGGAAGCTTCATTATTTATGCATTCACTTTTGCACAAGTAGGAAACCCAAAACAGTATGCATCTAAGTTATTCCCAAAAGTAACTTTTCGGCATGAGGTTTAGTTGTTTAATCAGTACTTATCACCTTAAATGTGATAATTACAACAATTTATCGTTTAACCACTTAAAGTCAATACCCAAGATGCTAGTTTATTCCGAGTTACAAAACTTTGTTCTCTATTCCATAGTTGGTACTGTTTCCAGTTTCTACCTCACTCATTGTTTATATCAGTACGTAAGCTGGTGATTGGAGGTACTCGTTAGGAAGTCCTGGACTTAGTTTTCATACTAGTTGGGACTCGTTAGCAACTTGAGTGGTATAATTAAGTCACCACTGAGAAATAATTGACAAACATGATATTCGTCAGTAATCGGTGACCGACTTAATGTAAATATTTGTATGTCCTCTGATCGACAGTGGTACTCATTATATCTATTAGAAGTATAAGGACCACGAAACAAGTTTTTATCGGGGATCTATTTCTCTTTATCACACTTCAAAGAAGTGATTTGAAACCATTTTCTCAACATTTTAACCTATGCGCAGCATGTAAGTACTTTTTATCCGTAAGTTCTAGTCAGGGAATTCATCTAATTTCCATTCCTGCACTATATATATATATATATATATATATATATATATATATATATCATCCACCTGAACTACAACTATTCTCCACTTACTCATCCGAATCTATGTCATTAAGAATTGAAGTCACACCGGAATAATTAACAGACAGTCGAGTAAAAGTTTAGATAAAAGAACGAAAATATTAAAATGATATTCTAATTAATTTATTTTTTGTTTCTTCAAGTGATTAGCATAACGAAATAAAATGGTAACACAGCTTTATTAGAATGGATTATATTTATTATGTAATCATTAATTGGGAAACATAAGAACAAGAATAGAAATGATAATAACAATATAAGAATTAAATAAAAGCTACTGTAGGCCATAATTTATATATTTCAAGTTCTCTTTTTTTCATTACGGTCCTTTTTTATTTACGAAATAAAGCTGTTTCGCTTGGTTCTTAATTATTATGAAAACGAAAATGTAATTGGCATTTACTTAAATAGCTTTCTTTACTCAATAATTTGAAGAATTATGTAGTGATATATATATATATATATATGCTTAGGAACAAACATGTGCGTTGCATAAAAAGCTGAAACTGTTATTCTTCATTCAATTATTAACTAAGAAATATCGTAACAAGAATAATATCAATTAGAAAAGGCAAAGTAAGAGTTCAACAGAGAGATTAATAAAAACATGAAGAACAGAATCAAGGGATTATCAATTTGAATAAGCATGCGGTATAATATAAGTTTAATAATAATGATAATCACTTCAAATATCAAGTATATGGATTCATTGTAGTTTCATTGAAGTATTTATACGACTCCCGTTGGTAGATAACGATAATAATGAGGATCACGTCGGGAACGACACAAAAGACGTTTGATTCTTCCCCTTAGTTCAGAAATCTGACTACCTTCAGGATATACTAATCCCTTCCCATAGCCCTACAAATAAAATACAAACATATTATAGGAAACTAGAAGACCTTGGATATAATAAGTATTTCACTTACATGCATACTTATATTTCATACCTAGAAATAATCTTAAAGTTGTAAGTAGTTCATAGAAAATAGAATTATATCAGTTGTATCTACTGACATTCTAGTTCTGATATAGCTTTTCTAAATACACTTTTCAGTGAATGCAACTGTAGTTGAATACTCTTGCTTCAGAATTCTTAAATTTTGGACACAATATTCAATCATTTCGTCTTACATTTAGAAAGTTATTATCAATAAGTTTAGTGATTTCAGTCACTCAATAATAATGATAAGTTTTTGTAGAACTTCATTCTTTCTTAATAAATTACTTAGCAAGTAATTATCTTGATTGTATTTTATGTAACTATAAATCACGTCAAGTAACAGTTTGCATATGATTTATGTATACGGCTTATTGTATATACTATTATACTGTATATTCCTGTACTTTGCTAAGTGTATATGAAGTTATGAACTGAATCGAATACTGTTACTTTTAAACAACTATGATGAGATGGCAAGTAATGGGCGTAGAATTTTGGTTTTTTTAATCTTACACATATTTATATGAATATATGTTAACTGTAGTTCATTTAATGAAATAAGTAGTATTCCAAGAAATTTATAATACTTTTCTATAATGTCAGTTTAATTATTTGAATGATTACATTTTCTTTCAATAATATATAGGCACATTTGTAATATATATAAATAGATATATGTATTTATTCATGCAAATAGGAATAGTTGTCTACATATATAAAACTAATAGTATGTATGTTAGACTAAACAAAATTAAATATGACTGAGAGTTAGAGGAAATCGTATCCATGCAAAAAGCATACATCTTCCATGCATAAATATCATCAATGTTTCAATGTATTTACGGTGGTTTGATTATGTATATTCAATTTTAACTTAAGTTATAATTATAGGAATTAAATATGAAAGGAAAAAAACAACCCAAAAGATGGTGAAGAAGATTTGTAGTTCAGGTGGGTGATGGTTGGGTCCCAACCATCCAGCTCAGAGAACAAATCAACATCAAAAACAACCTAAAAGAGTTTTTCATTCAATCTATTCGATTGAATTGTCATAAATGTTCTTTTTTCATATTTAAAACATTAAATCGTTTAGTATTTTATTAAAACACTAAATACAATAGTAAAGGATTTTTTGTTACCAACGTTACAACATATATCATACTAATATTAACTGTTTGGAAAGTATCAGCGAATATTTATAACACAACAATAAAAATTGAACAAGCTGGATTTAATTTACTATTAATAAGGCTTTTAAATGATATTTCGTCTATATGAATAATGATTTTCTTCTGGTAGGTTATTTAAGTTAATTATATTGTCAGATCTAATCGTTTAATTTATAGCTTCAGATTATTAACTTCAGGAGTAAACTACCTATTCCCTGTCTAACTAATACTAATTACAAATTATTATTATTATTTTTACGATTATACCATCGTTGTCTTTGGACTTGTATAATATAGATTTGTCTCAAGCTCTGATGTATTCAGACTTGGTCCATGTGATCGGTATCCATTTAATTCTGGCATTCTAGTATGGAACAAATACTCCATTTGTTTATCAATTTATATGACCAAAATTATCATCAAGGAAGTCGTATATATATATATATATATATATATATATATATATCACATGCATTGCAAACATTTGTTACATAGTAATTTAAATGGTAACAGCGACAGTAACAGTGCACAGGTCAGCGATTATTCAATAAATTTTGCGGTGTTATATAAATTGACAGCAATGATAAAGGAAGGTATAGTTAGTTATATTAATATTATAGAGACAGTTACGTGATTCAACATATGTAGGTTTAAATATACATGTATATATGTGTAAGCATATATAGTTTACAGAAATACACAGTATAGTTGTCAATATCATGCAGGAGAAATTGAAAAGAAAAGAAGGAGAAAAAACAAATATAATAAAAGGAACAAACAAAAATTAATGAATGATTATTAAGATTAAGTTATTTTAATGCTTCATTTTACGAATCACCAATGGTTAAAGAAGATGAAGAAGAAAATTATATCAATTGGCTACGTTGTAATAACTGACAGTATCTCACGTTTTTTATAGTAATAGCGGTAAGAAGAAATAACATTAGAGAACCTCTTATTGTTTTTAGTTTGTTTTTAATTAAGGATAGATATCACTTTCAAGTGGCATTCTTATTACTTATTGAGCATACTACTCATATGTCAAATCGCTGATGTAGAAACTTTTACAAGTAATATATTGGTTGAAATCGATAGTTATCAGTCATACTCTAGAAGAGGTAATTTAGTAACTAAAGTAAATAAATTCAAGCCATGGGGTTGCAAGTTTAAATCCTCTATTATGCCTTCTTCACTTCAGGCAGCTACTAGCTTTTACGTAGAAACAAATAGAAAAACAGTGTGATTCATGTTCGATAGATGGTATGCAAAAATGTAGGCTAAACTTGATGATCACACCACAGTCAATATAGAACTAAAGTAACAAATTTATCGGAGAACTTTCGATCTGTAAATGCACACATACCTTGACAATGAAATAAAGCCAATCAAACAAACAAGCAAAACAATAAATGATTTTCTTCTCCCTCATTTTTTCCCACATAATTTGTATTCAACTAAAATTTGGGAAACTACGTGAATTCATAAACACGTTATTTTGCAGTAATGTTGTGACATAAATATATTTCAAAGCAAAATTCAATGGAAATAAATATTTTAAGCAGAAACATCATGCTCATCTCTTATTTTTCATAAATCAAAATTAGCAGCTGTTTTGCTATTTTCAGCTAGTTATATGAAGAACTCACGTGGTTCGACGGCCCATTCTGTTGAAGGAAAGCGTGTTAGTACACCGCTTTTTCGTTGTTAATCTTATAAAAATACGTTAGTACTATGAACAAATGAGTTATGATCATATTTGTAAGCCTATTTTTTGAGTGACTTGTTCAATTTATTTCCTTTCAACTTGTTATATTTTCAGCTTTAATGAAGGGTCTTTTAACATATACATTGTTTCAAGAAGTCTTAAACCAGACATGACATTGCCTGCGGGTTGTGAAGGACTTAATTCAACAAGATTGAATCCCTTACCAGTGACCAAAACTTATGTTGGTAACCGCAGACCGTGTATATCATGGGTTTATTTCGTGTGGAGTCATATATGTGCGTTTCTGGAGAATCCTAACTTGGTGCAAAAACAACTACCCTTTTTTATTGGTTCTCAGTTATTCTTGAGCTAGCACCCAGTTTTTATGAAATTTATATTCATATGTACGGAACATATAAACGTTATTTACATGAAGGGTTACCACTATACAATTAATTTCTCCTCAAAATAGAAATATGATCGAATAATTCACCTTTCTGAATGTACTGAAGTGAAAATTAGCAATAAACAATATATATTACCAAAACTAAATTCATGTAGATTTACTGACATTTCACTTCAGAGTTGGATTTTTTTCTTCTAAAATAGTTAATTATGAACTTGTTATGGATTAGTGCAATATAAAAAACAAAACTGGATGGTTAATCCATTTATCAGTAGTACTAAGAAACTTGATATGCTGTTTTGATTCAGTGTCGGAATGACAGCTTTTGGCGAATTGATGATAATTTGCTGTTATAAGTCCTACTAGAAAAACTAGCGAATCATAATCTTTACAACTGTTGATTTTCGTTTCATTTGGTTTAAAACTCCCTGTTGGTGTATGGTTTATCAGCTCTGATTTAAGAATGAATGCCATTTAAGGTTTTTTTAAAAACTAAATACCTCCAGTCGGTTATATATTCACATTAATAGAAATTTAATAGTCTTTCAAAACTGAATTAACTTATTAATTTAACAGTAAGTATGAGATGATAAAGAGTATTTGTAGGTTAAGATAAATAATATGGAGTTGTATTCTCTAAACTGGATGGTTTATTTGTAAAGCTTCCATTATCCCTTCGTTGACATAACATATTGGAGTAGATAATTATGGAGAAAAATTAATTGTTCCCTTGTAAAAGCCTACTTCTTACAGGAATTCTCTCATGTTTGAAAGGTTCATGTCTAAACTAACCAGCTAAAAAATACCTTTTCTCTGAAGATTTTATGTTATTCAGCTCGATTTTGACATCGTAAATCAGAATTCTATACTTTTTATTGAATAACTGAAGCATGTAACATTGGATACAGTAGTGTAAAGATGTTAATTAACAAAACCATTTGACATTTTAGCGCAATAATGACAATGAAAGTAATAAAAACGTGCCATAGGATTGATCTACAAACAGCTTGTGTAAGAATATAATTAACTGTTAAAAAAGTCAACAGTAAAATTTGTTAAAGTGTTATCTACACAAAAAATTTAAGCCTACTACAATGCATACTCTCAGACAGTTTGTCCTTGTACTAAATCTAGTTTAGTGATATTCGTTTTGACTTTTTTCATTGAGTATTATAAGTAGCTGTACTTTTCCTCAGTATCCTAGGTGTTCTTATTTCGTAATTAATTTCATCTGAGTTTTGCCTTTTTTAATTGAATATCCGAACAATTTATTACGTAATCAGATTGCCCAGAATGAACTGAGATGATACAAGTATGCTACATGATTCTGAAACATCTTATCTTCTTGTCATACACTATCTAAATGTATTAGAAAGACTATTTTAACTCTCCTCAACTACATCACTATTCGTAAATATTTTTAATACACTATTAACAGATTTAATTTTTGATGAAATCCTTACGTTAATCATAACGATGGTTTCGTGCTATGTTAAAAGTTATGTAATGTTACTAAAACAACTGATGTATAGACATTGAAATTTATTTACTGGTCCACTATAAAGACCTAAAACGTTTTTTAGCCGGAATTACAAGCCCTCATTTCATTTTAAATTATCCTATTTTCAAGACCATGAGATACCATCATATTAGTTTGTTCATTATTTGTAGTCCTTCAGAAATGTGGAATTTTAACAGAAAACAGTCAAATAACTTTAAGTTCACGAAATGTACATGTTCAATATTAATAATTAATACTGGTTCCTTTGAATAAAATGAATAGTATTATTTAAAAAGGAAATAGAACTATGACAGTAATACTTAAATATGATAGCAATGACTATTGGTTTTTTTATATTATGATGAATGAGTTAGTAACTATGATGCTGATTACTTGATCATACTTAACGTTCCCTTGTTAGGATTTTTAATTGAACTATTTCTAATTAAATTTTATGAAACTGGTATTTTTCATTTAAGTGAACTGTAGTGAAATTCTTCAATAAATTAAATATAACCCTCTTTGTGTGTGTGATAACGTAATGTTTATCAATTCATAATTTATTCCTAAAACTAATCATAATTAGCAAATCATGAACTAAAGACTGAAATATATTTTACACCCTTTATAACTTAACCATCTATGTATTTGTACCAACTTTTTTTTAGACAGATTGTTAACACATTCGCACAAAAGAACAAATTATAGGAGGTATTTACACACCCATCATATAAAACTAATCTATGTATAGCATTCATATAACAGTATATGGAAAAAAGCATATAGTAATAAAATTTTGTTAGATAAGTCTTTTGTTAGAAGATACTAAATTCAAATATCTGTCCACTCAACGAACCTGCTTGCAAGTTGTTGATATTTTGATTCAATTCGATCTTGTACTGATGCAGTTGTAGCGTTCATATCAATTCCGGAGTAACGATCAAGCATTTTCCGATGAACATCTAGTTTGTCATTCAATGCACGTAGGGATCCCCTCATTTCCCTGTAGTATTCAGGTGAGGGCAATTTGTATTCCAGCAAATCGTCCATACGACGCTATTGAATAGCGTGAAATTATATATATACGGTGTACAATTATGAAAACATTTGAAAACTTATTTTTCACATAAAAATAGTGTATATTAGTTAACATATTAGAATACACGAAAAATGTACACTGTAAAATTAAAAAAAGAATTGGTAATAGTTCAAATTAATCTGACCGATAAGCATCGGTCTACATATTGGTTGCGTAATAAATGTTCGTGTTACAGCTTATGAATAAGCAAGTAATATTGTAAAGTATTCACACAGTTTCATAACCTATGAACAAAATAAACCCATGCTCATTACCAATTCAAATAGTTTCAGTAAAATTAACAGTTTTAATTCAACTCAGATTTGTGTTAATTAAAACTATCCATTGAGGATAATAACTACTGTTAAGTCAGATAATTTTTGCTATTGGTAATAACCAACTAGGTAGACAAGTGGATTGTTAATGTTTCAAAGTCGTGTGTGATTTTTATCTCCATAGGATTTAATCTAGAATAGTAACAGAAAAAAATAAGGTCTAACAGTTGGTGAATATAGAAAACTTTAAGTAAACTACTATCCTGTCTGTTCAACATAAACAAACAAGACGTATTTATTTTCCATATATCAAAATGAACCTGAATAAAAGCCTGACTAAACTTTACAGTTTGACTTAATAATCTAGTCTGTGTTTATATTTGTCACATTTTATTCAAACAAGTTGAATGGGATATTTATGACATATGGTCTCATTTGTTTGAATGGTTAGGACTTCTTTCCTTTTTTAGCACATCTGAATTGAACATTCATTGATGTGTTTTGTCTTTCTTCATACTTGCTAAAGAATTTTTTGGACTAAATGTTCGAAATACTGACCTGAGCTTTATGATCTAGGTGTTAAGTTAATATTACAATGTAGTATCATGATTTCTTCTTCAATGAAATAGTCTTTGAGTTCTACTTAGGAATGATATGTATTTAGTGTTTTACGAACTTTGAACTCAGCGGAAGATTCCTTTAAACATTTATATAATATAGGAAATCTTCTTCTCATGGTCAAATATTAGAGATTAAAGAACAATTCAACAATCGTGTGAAATTGACTCGCTTCGCAAGATACATTTCGTGTAGGTCACTTCGTAAAATATTGAAACTATGCAAATATTGTGAAACCTATGAATAATTCTACAGTATAATGCATCTCGTGCAACTAGATTCAAACGATCTGGATGCAGTAATAACTATCTGTGAATTATTACTATTAGTTTAATTAATTTTATATAAAATTTTAAATACACGTAGGGAAGATTTTAAAACAGAATTAAGAATAGACTTCATTGATCAGTTAAATTACATCTTAGTTTGATTATTAACTTACACGCCTGATCAGGCGCCAGCCAAGAAAGGAAAGAAATTGAATCTTTGTTGAATTATTCAGCACATAATTAAAGATAGGTAAATTATGAACCTAATCACATGTAACATGAAAAGCTTATCAAAACTTAAACCAAGCGTTTTTTAAAACAGAAAATTGAAAATAACTAATTATCAATCGAATATTTTTTATTAGATAAAGAATGTGTCAGGAGTCATTTTAATCCAGAGATGCTAATAGGTGTACACAAAATATTGAGTATAAATAGTCCGTTTTATGGTTTGAAATGTATTGCAAGAAAAAGGGCTAGGCACAAGCGTGCTCGTTCTAACATTTAGTATCTTCCAGATGAACCTCATACAGAGATATTTGCATGTTAGTCGATATTGAAAAAGTTTTATATAACCACTCTCAAAACATTGGTAAATTTACAAAGAATCAATCATGACATTTGTCAAAATATAATATTCAAGCTCAGTAAAAGTCACTGATGTAGAGAAAGAAACAGATCAACTAAGTAACCCAGAATTATGAGTTTGAAAAGGTGACAGAACAGTTTGTGGAGGTATATGTATTATAGAAGTAAAACATTTCCAAATATTGTCAAGCTTGTACAGGATCAACTGACGGGTTTTAAAAAATGGTTGCATAATAATTACTTATACAATCCACTTGCTTCAATCTCAGATATACCTTTTAGCTATACTTACTGGTGTCACTAGTCAGCGGGTCATTCTTATACTTTGTTGAATGTGTTTGGTTGTGTATCTTTAGAATTAAGGCTATGCATTTCTGTAGTGTATAAACTATCACAAACAAAAGTCCAGTGATTCGCGTTAGTAAACGTTTGTCTCCATAACATTACGGAGTAACAGTTTTCAACGAACTTGATGCATAAATGCTTTTGATAGAAATGAGAAGTGTTTTCAAATGGTATTGAAACACAACAATACAAGATATTACCAACTAAATATACTTTAAAAAGAAATATAACAGAGGCTACTGTTTTTAACAAATTTGCCATATATGCTCATAAAGGTTAATAGTATGTCACTATGAATGAGAAATGGAGATTTATTTATTCAACAAGGGGATTGCTTTACGAAGAATTTCAGGAAAATATTTGAGATTACTCAATGTAAAGATTATGCTAAATGGAATTAAAATCTGCAACCTTGTTTATGAGATTTCGTCAAATATGGTCTGCTCTTACGTGTGGGATTAATATGTTTTAAATTTCTAGAGATGCTACAGAATGAAAGAATTGCACAGACTAAGTAGCACGTAGAGTGATTAATTTCAGTGTTGATGAACACTTCGTGATAAAATGTCATTTTTTTCTGTTATCTGTTGATTTATTTTTCGCTGAGTTAAACTTAAAATCCAATCTTTGAGTTTCAATATAACTATAAGTACCGAGTAATAAACCCAATGCTTTGTAGAGGCTGTAATATATGATATAAGTGCTTTTCAAACATTACGTTATCATCTTTATCTTTTACTATATAATATCGTATTCAGTTATCGTTTCAGAATTCACTCTCAAAGTAATTGAATAGCTGACAAGTTATTCAACTCAGTGTTAAAATTATTTAACATAATGGCGTAGTAATCGTACAAACCATCTATTTTTATTTTGTTTAGGATGTATTTTATTCCTCTCTTTTGTTTTTACTAGCCTTATATACAAAGGATAATAATATTTACAACATTTAGTTAAGAAGTATTCATTATTTGATCAGTTTTAATTTTTCTACTACTATGGTGTGGGCTACTTATATCCACACAAGTAGTATGTAACAATGGTCAGGCATTGAATGTATTTCACTAGAAGATCGATAAGGAGAGAACGGAAACGAAACGCAATTGGTATGGAAATGCATGAACAATAATAATCGAAAACTATGGGCTGATATTTGCAGAAGGAATGGTAAGGGTTGAGACAATTGATTGATAGTTTGCAAATTAACTGTTTACTGTATGGTTATCATATTTTAGTGAGATAGTCTGTAATTGCCGTGCCAATTACATTCGATTGTCCCCACCCATATTCTATTCACTACACTACCGCCATATTGTGTTAAGTAATTTCTGTGTTTTAAGTTAGCCATAACGTTTTATGACCGATTGTCAATATTAAATAAAAATTAAAAAAGAAAAGACGCAACTTTATTCTCGCAATTTTCGAAATTCAACTATTTAGATGTGAACATATAAATTATGTTGTGAGATGTTTACAATAAAACCTGTCATTGTTTTTGCACTTTACAAATCTTTATTGATGTATAGTAATTTATTCTACTTCATTGAATCAGTTACAATGAGTTTAAGATCTACTTTATATCAGACAAAGGTCTGATAAATCTATTTTAATAGGTCATTTGGAGCAAAATTTATAAAAAATCTTTTGTAGACAATAGTAATGTTATTAGCATATTTAGAAAAGTACAAAACTACTGGTAATCATGTAAGTAAGGCGTTGTAGAAGGTAAGATAACACAAAAAATATTTGTAAATTTTGTAACGTATATCGTTTATGACTCTGGTTCGATGAAAGAACGTCAAATGTAGTTTGTTCAGTTTATCAATCTACTTAGAGTTGAATCAACAAATTTTAATACAATCATGATGACTTCATTATATACACGTTGTATATTTCAAGCATTGAATGTACGTTTTTCGAATAGTTTCATCAAGGCATTTCTACGAAAACCATAATTCTCAGTCTATTATACCTATGAATGAATATTTAATAAGTTGGTGACGACGATAATCCCATCTTTAGTTAAAATACTTATGCTACATAACTAACTGTTTTGTGGTATATATGATATTCAATAAAACAGAATGAACAGCTAATCTTTTGTTTCAATGAATAAATCATCTGTCTTGTTTTAAACTGTTCGGCTTTTTTACAAAGTGATCTAAATTAAATTTTATTATTAGAAGCTGAAATTACATGCTAAAGAGAGTTTTACATTGTTTTACATTTAATTCTAGTAAAACAGGTAAGAAGCTAACAGGTAACCTTCTGGAAAGTTCTCAAATGACATAATTGATCAACTGATCAAAACATAAAAGAAGTGATCAGTTATCACGGACTTGTGAGTATTAAATTATGTACAAATCGAGACATATTCAAAGTCAAATACTTTTTCATTATTACAGTACTTATGAAAAATAAAGTAAAAATTGCCAAGATAATCATGAAGACTTACTTCAATTCGTCTACGTTCAGCTTGCATATCACTAGACAAGTTACTATAAGAACCTGAACTCGACAATGGTCTTGTAGTGACAATTGATGGATAATAATATGTGTATCGTCTTGGTCCAACACTTGTATAAGTAGTTCTTATAGGTTCAATATTACTCTAAACGATTAAAGAAAAGTCAGGTGAAAGATTCTAATAAAATTGAGAACTTCAGCAAATATACTCCGAATTAAAATAAGGTTACATTGAGAATTTATTTATTTTCGCTGTATCTATATACGTTAAATTAAAGAATATCATTGTAACTATTCTAAAATTCTAAATTATGTAAATCAAAACATTTGTAATGTAAAAACTAAAATTTAATCTAGAATTCATCGTATATTTTTGGAGAATTAATTTGAAAGTCAAGCAAAGATTGATGGTGGCTAGCAGTGGAGTCCAGGAGGCGCGTTTCGTCCTATTGTGAACTCATCAGCTAGACGTACCTGCATCCTAGAGTTGATGTTCACTCCAGGATTCCAGCACATTACCGTTCGCTTCAAACGCCATCGCATTATCCACTTAGCAACTGATCCCTGATACTCACTTGCTTGTGCAATGGGGTGAAGTTTACATTCACTTGGTATTGTTTGCTTGTATCTTCACATTGTTGTTTATGAATGCATTTGATCAGTCTCTTATTATCACTGATCAAATGTAGTCCTAAACAACGATGAGAAGATACAAGAAAACAATACAAGGGAATTTATATTGAATATCTTTTCAAAACTCCGTATGGTGCTTTATGAATAGATGTATATAGATATATATATGCATAGACGTATTAGTTTACTTATATCCAATTAGGAACTTTTGCTCATTTAGTTTGCCTTTCTATATTTGTTAATCAAATGGAGATAAGATAAGGATTTAATTTCTTTTTGTATAATCAAAAATTAGACATAACTCTTGTTGTCAATGCGTAATAATGATAAACTATACTTTCTTTTTTGTTATTTGACTAACCAAATGACATTCATTTGGGAACTTAGTAATTAACTTGGATTTCTTGGATATTGTATTCATAAAAAAATTTAGTGATAAACTGATTTAAAAATGTCATATGTGACATTTTAGGTTTTGTCAAATGACAACTAACAGAGTTTCGTCCTTTCTAGGTTCTTACATTGAAAAATAAGGTTGAAATCAGTCAAAGGAACGTTGTATTTCAATATTTGAACATATGTGAATGCACAATGGTGAAAATGTTAAGTTTCTTTTTTGAAAATAAATGAAGGTGACAGTTAGAATTTCGAAAATGACTTTTGCCTTTTTATACGGAATTTAATATTGAGTGACTCTTATTTAACCTTGACCTTAGGGTAAAAATTTAATTGTTTTAAGCATATTAAATGTTCATATCTTTCTGTGTAAATAGTACCTAATAAACAACCAAACTCTAACCATTAAGCCTAGTCCCAACTAGGAATGACATGGTAACTCTAAGGAGACTATGTGAGTCCTAACATTTATTCAACAAGGAGATGTTCTGTTACCATTTGGACGAATTTATTTGTTGAATTACCAATTTGCAAACTGAAAATCCTGTAGGAAATTTCAACAAATGTATTAACTGTGTAAAATCGGTTTATCTTTTGGCAGATTACTGTTAACGTTCCATAAAGTGTTAACTTACAAAATCTGTTTCCCAAATTGCTAATAACTTATTAAATTCGTTTCAATTATTTTAAGAATTAATAAAGGTCGTCTTTATACTATGTGTCTATCACATGTTTCAGAATTGTTATGGACCACTAGTTCTTGAGTAATCATAAAGGGTTTTAAGTATAATGAACGTTCTTGTCAGTGGTTCGATAAAGGCATTCACGTAGTAATTATAAAAAGGTCTTAGTAATTTCAAGGATCTGACTGACTTAAAAATATGGGGTACATTCACTTGGATTGTTAATTTTTTTAACAACATAACCTTCAGATTCTACACACACAAGTTCAGAAGCATTTTATTACAGTGACCAGAAAAACGTCAGATCGAATCACTCAGTGGTAGGATGATATGGGTTAATGTGTAACACCTCTAGATTAGCTATTGTATTAAAATCATGATAAATTTGTAAATGTCTAACTTGATGAGAGAAATACTGAAGTGAATTATTTTGGCTTATATTATGGTAATACATAAACAGTACATTCTAATTGTTAATAACAACACTGTTTTTTACCTATCTAGTTATAATAACGGTGTAATTAACAAGAAATTTAAATGTCTTGATTTTGATTATACACGATTATTTCTGATAAACAATATCAATGAACAGAGATGGATAGTGGCTAGCAGTGGAATCCAGGACGCGCGTCTCGTCCTATTTGGGACTCGTCAGCTGGATGTACCTGCATCTCAGAGTTGATGTTCACTCTGGGACTCGAACCCAGTACCCTCGCTTCAAACGCCATCGCGTTATCCACTCGGCCACTGAGTCCTGATAGCCACTTGCTTGTGCGATGGGGTGAAGTTTAAATTCAACTTAGTATTGTTTGTTAGAGACTGACCAGTTGCAGTCCTAACAAATCGATGGGGAGATTCAAACAAACAATACTAAGTTGAATTTAAATATCAATAAACATTATCAGTGAACCGATAAGTTTTGTTAGGAAGTCAGGAAATACTTTTGTAACCTACGAAACTAAAAAAGTAGTTTTCCATAGATTGATCGGTGCTTTTAAGATAAAAACTTTCAAAGTTAAGAGTACCCTGCCTTAAAATGTGGCACTTATAGGTTTAGTGTTTTTGATTAAACTGTCAAAGAATATCACTAATATAGAAATTCTTATTTTATGTAGTAGAAACATATGTGCATTGATGGTAATTTTTGTATAACCTTTTCAATGATGATAAAATACTTTTATTTACTGTTCACTATGAAAAATAACTGACAATAGTATTCATAAATTTTAAAGGGTTTTTAAGGAATCTGATATAAAGTAGTTTCTCTATGAATAGTTGAAGTAAAAGAAATCAATCTAGATGATAGCGTCCACAATGCTTCTTCAATGAGTCGTTGTAAAAACATAAATGATGATATAGAGTTTTCTAAGAGAGAAAAGTAGAATAAAGCAATACATGTTATGAAACTGGAAAATTGCATTTCCCTCATTTCTGGCTTTAAGATTTTGAAAGTGCCTTTTCTTCTAATGTATGCATTCACATGGTGTTTAATTGTTATGATGTCATTATTAAAGTAGTTTATATGGCGTTTTATATTTTGAATCAATTCAATAACCGAGTTAAATTAACAACACAAAAACTGTCAAAACTTTTCTTACAGAATGATTGGATGGTAAATGCCAAAAGACATGATGTACAGAAGTATTATAAGCATGAGAAAAACAGTACATTTAGTTACTATGGTCGTACAAAGTATGAACTACTTACATATGTAGTTGTATGATATGGTGTTTCATAAATATACCGATTTGTTCTGTAATTTCGATGTACAACAGGTGGCAATCCATAATCTGTACTAGTTATTGTTGAACGATACGTTCCAACTGCTGACGGTGGTACTGAACCCAAACGACTGGTATGCAGTGGAAAATTACGACTATATGATGTATGAATTACACGTGGCATACTGTTCTCCTGTAATTAAGCAAATAGAGAAAAATAATTTGCATAAATAATTATAAAGATAGACTAAAGATTAAAAAGGGTTTTGCACTTTGAACTAATTTCCTTAAAAATAATCGATGAGAAATTTGGGAACTTATTAGTGAGAATATCAAGTAAAAAAAACCCTGACCCTAGGTTTTGGGTTAGTCGGCACTCGTCAGGAAGACGTATTTATAACCTTCGGGGAACTTATGTTATCTGTTAGGTTTGACTCCGGTGGAGCACAAAATTCTACCTGAATCTTGTGCTAATGATGGAAGCTCCACCAAAATCATCCACTTGAGCTACAAATCTCCATCACCTCCAACGCTTTATTCCATTTACCGCAATTCCACAGACAGATGAATCGAATCACTAGTTTGAGCATTAAGTGATCTCATGTTTAACTGTGATGTTTATATAAATTTATTTATTTTGGTTTTATGATGAGTAAATTATATTTATGATCAGATAAAAGCTGAAAGTTGATATGATGTTTAATAAAAATAAAATTTACTGGCAGTTTAAGATGAAAATTCACAACTTCTCAATACATAGAAAGCTCGGTCTTCAAATAAACAGAACTAGATTAGTTGTGTCAGGTGCTATCAAATTCATGTCAAAGATTACTAGAATTAATAATGAGACGTTACATCGGTATATACTAAAGTGTTATCTTCTAAATAGTGTTACTTTGACAACGTACTTTAAATAAAAGTAAAGCAAAGGATTACAATGAAAGCAGTGAAAAATAAGATTCTGATGCTGTGAAACCATAGGCTCTGTTGCAATAATCTCAGGAAACTAGTCTTTACTCTTTTAATTTCCAACCAACATTTTATCCATAAACACATAGAATTATATATTTAAGTTGGTTTTTGCGAAATATTATATCATTGTATCTGATATTCTAAGTTCAAATACACATGTGCATCGAATTTTTGTTGGGTGTAATACTTCTAAATCTCACATAGGACTTTTACTCCTTTTCTAACATTATTGGTACCTGTTTGACGGAAAAGGAGTCAACCTACATTAGAAAGAAATTTAATTAAATTAACAACTAACTTCATTCGTGTTAATTTATTGTCAAATACACACAAATATTGAAATAAGTGTAAATGTTAGAATATAAGGAAAACGTAAATTTATACCTAACACTTTAATCTTAATTTTAATGCGTATAAATTAATTGATGATCAGTCTACACGTTAAAAGTACACAAGTTATGAATAAAGAATAATTAGCTTGAAATAATAGACTTGAATGGACACATTATGATTGATTTATAAGTGTAATACAGTGTTTTGATGTACAGAAGTAAAAGGTAGAAGAATGCAATAATTTTTGATGTAATCACAGATCAATAATCTATGTGTCATCAGGAATACTATCAATATACCATAAATATCTTGAATTTGTAAGTGTAGAATACTAACTTTTATCTTTTCTGAATTTAATATTTGTTTCAAGATTTTTAAGCTTTGAGTTTTATACAATGCGAGGTCGGTGATTGATACTATCAAGTAGTCCTAAACTAGTAAAAAAATCTCGTATTTTTTCTATAACGGATGATTGCTCTTCTCTCATCAGTCAGTGACCTATATTGTTCATACATCAAAATATATTTAAAATCACTATATAAACAAATCGTTGAGTTGAGTAAGTCTAACTATAGCGCAAGAGGTGTTTCATCTTGTGACCAACCGTGAATACAAATGTTGATAAGGATGTTTTAAGAACAGAAACATTTTTATGTCAGTCATACTAATATGCTCCAATTAGGAAATTGTACACGTCTAGGATGTTTGACATCTGCCAATTTTCCTAAGTTCCTTTCTATATATATAATAATAATTTTTTGATATATTTGATGAGATGTCGTTGTATGTGTTCAGAATACTGCAGAAGTAATAGATGGACTTCGGAAAAATCAAATAATTCTTCAATGATGAGGAGATTTCAATAAACTTTTCCTTCAATGATGAACAATATTTTATGCGAAAACATGATTTAATCAACTGCACTGATTTATATTTTATCTTAACCTATTCTGTATACTTCTACTAATTTTTAAAATACTGTTGAAACTGATTACAAACTTACATAATAAATGGATATTTTTAAAAACCATTATGCTAATTTACAATTCATCTTTAGTGGTATCAATCTATGATAAAAAAAATCGTTTTAAACTGAATAATTTGTACATATTTACCCTTCATTACTTTGGCCATCTCAGAAATAACTGAAATGATCATATTTTCTTAGTTTAATGTATAATCATAAATTAGTAATATGGTGTATGCCACTTATCCTGACACATATAAGTAGTATGTAACATTAATGAGAAGTAGAATATCTAGTAGCATTAGACTGAATTGAAGAAAACAAGAATGGAAACAACGAGACATTGTAGTGACAACGGAATTCTAAGGAACATGAAGCATGTAAAGAATAACTGAAGGGATATGTGTAAATAATGTTCTTAATGTATGGTTTTCATATTTTACGAAGGCACTGAATATTTTGTATGAAATAAATAAATTGGTTTCCCCACCTGATTTATTGTCACTATAGTAACATGTTAATTATCGCTACTCAATATAAAAACTAATAATATTCAGCTAAACAGAAGTGATTACTGCTCATATTTAAATTGATTGAGTAAATTAATCCATTTTTTATTTTACAAAAGTAGTTTTATGTTTCGTGAATATACACTGTATATTATAGTCATATATCATCATACATTGATTCATAAAACAATGATTATCATTTAGAGCAAACATTAAACAGATCTATGTATATAAGAACTTTAGTCTAAATTAAAGCGAACAGTTTTACAGTATTTGGGCGCCGAGTTGATGTAAGACATTAAATAGGAATAATATATTTATCAGAAGGGATTTTGTGGACACTTAGTATTTTCATAATTGAAAGCGTGAGTCAATTGAAGCTAGATCACCGTTGGATGCCGGCTCATTGGTCTATCGGTTAAGAGCTCTGGCGCGAGACTGGTAGGTCCTGGGTTCGAATTTCGTGAGTGCGGTTTCGTGGATGCGCACTGCTGAGGAGTCCCATAATAGGACGAAACGGTTGTCCAGTGCTTCCAGGTTTTCCATAGTGATCTAGCTTCAATTGACACACGCTTTCAACTATGAAAATAATATATTTTTTTAAATATCAGCGAATGAATTTGAAGTAAATCTAACGTTTCGCCTGGCAATCTGCTCCAAGCTTTTTCAAGGAATTAATTCTATTTATCTTTCATTCTCATAACCTTTTTATATAAGAAATATGACAAAAAGTTTTAATATATCATTATCACTAAACAGCCACAAAGAAAAAAAGAAACACTTTATAAGCAAAAGCATTTAGTTATTATTCAGCTCCATTTGATTCTGAACATTCCATAAAACTATCATATTAGAAAATGATGAAGATTGTTGCTTTCCAAGTAGAAAACAATTTTTTATGTAAAAAAAAACAAAAATGAAAAATAAAATTTTCGAAAATGAAAAATAATTAAAACAAAAAATCAATTAAATAGGTAAACTAATCTCATTAAATTTTGTAAATAGATTAAATTATTATTACTAATCTTAAGAAACAAGCATTAATTATGTAATATGCACATTGACTACATACAATTTCATACATATTCATCTACATTTATATAAAAGAAAATGATTTCTATGAAATAATGATTGTTCAATGTACAATTTGAGACTTGTCAATCCAAGACTTGAATATTCAATAACGAGAAACAAAAACAACACGAACAACTAACTGTCACCTGACAATGAACTGAACAAAAAGTCGTTCAACAGCACAAAAAGCTCAAACAGTTAAAAGAAAACACACATGCATTTAGATACTTTGCAAAAAATGTTGATTCCATACATTAAAGTTTTCATGTTCATTTCACTTTTTTTCCTCTTAATCATCATAACAATGGAAGCGTAATGAAATAAAATAACATGACCAAAACAAATAATACACTGTGGATGACAAAGTATGTTGTATTGGTTCATAGTTGTTGTGTGTTTTGTTGAAATTAAATATTACTTTAATACTCGACTCACATCATCTGCACCATCGTGTAGATTACTTAAATTTTGTAGAGATCGATACTTCAGATAGACTTTAGCTTTCTGCTCCGAAAAGAAATATTGGGAAAGATGAAAATAATAGATACATTTATAGAAAGGAATATAACAGATGCATGTATTGGAGTTCCATGTTGACGTAAAATTAGTATTGTAAAAGTCATCAAATATGTCCTTTTCTAGTATGTATAATCAAGAATTGTGTAGATGTCAGGATAGTGAATAGTTCCATTGATGCCCTTGCTTGGTCAGAAAATAGGTAATCGGTTAATGACTCAACATTCCGTACTATTTATATTTGACTCCAATTACCCTAGTAATTTAAAACTGGATATAACTAATGAGTTTAAATCTGGTACGCATGAAAAACACATCCTAATATATTTCGTAGTTCAGTTACATCGATTTATAGGAGTAAATGTCTTATTTTACAGATACTTTACTCTTCTCAATGTATTTTTGCTGGTGAAGAAAGCAAATCTATGGTAATATGGTGTGATAAACAATATTTGCTATGAACGTCATTGCATTCTGGTTAACAGCAACAATACATTTTCTCATTAACTTAGACTGTCGTCTCAACTAATTCGATGTTAATTACTATTTCAAAAAGTAGTTAATGTATAAATTTTTATTACTAATTCACTTGTGAAGTGAAATCCAAATAACTGCTTACACTTTTATCCTCACATCTTTTGCAGAGTTTATGAATGAGCATTATTCATTGTTACCATTCGTTACGATCTCAATAAACTGAGATTTCATAAGTTTACATTATGAAGATTGAGATAATTCCTATTATTTTGAATTGACAAACCGAATATCTTCTTTACGATTGGAAGCGATAACGGCTCATCTCAGTTTTATAATATTAATATC